AAAAATCTACAAATATATATATATGTATATATATATATATTGATATATATAAATATATAAATATATAAATATATTTGTATATAAAAATATAAATAGATAAAATAGATAATATAAATAAAAATAAATAAATAATAAATTGGGTCTAATCTGTCACACGAGTAACACTATAAAGTGCATAGTACATATCTTATCTAGTTCTGTGCGCCAAAAAAGGGACATTTTATTTTTTAAAAATCCATAGAAATAATAATAATAATAATACATGGATATAGTATAAGCGTATCAGAGTCCTAAGCATAATATTCAGTAACTGGGGTCCATTTTCTCATAAAAACAGGTTATTTTAGCTGTAATTGGTCAAATATTCATCATATAAAAACGTTTTACTTCCTGTAACCACTGAGTTATAATGGGAAGGTCAGTCTTCATCTAGTTAATAGTAATATTTGTTCTTAAATCATCAACAGAATGTGTAATATCTAACATTGTTCTGGTCAGGAAACCAGCCATTAGAAATAACAAAGGAATCTCCACTGCCAACATTTATTCTAGGCTTTATTTTTAAAGTTTTATCAAGCCGAGTTCCTTTTGGAAAACATGTAGAGCAACAAGATCCATCAAAGTCCGCCTGGAAACAGAGAATTGAGCCTTTAAAGGCTTTTGCAGGTTGGGTTTTTCAGCTTTTCACGCTTTGTGAGCACCACGGAGGAAATATTCAGGCTTTTCTGGTGTCCTGGAAACGCGTCCGGCGATAAAAAAGCGCCTGGAAAGGGCTGGAAAAGGCTGGAAAAGGGCTGGAAAGGGTTGGAAAAGGCTGGAAATGGCTGGAAAGGGGCTGGAAAGGGCTGGAAAAGGCTGGAAAAGGTCTGGAAAAAGCTGGAAAGGGCTGGAAAAGGCTGGGAAAGGGCTGGAAAAGGCTAGAAAGGGCTGGAAAAGGATGGGAAGGGCTGGAAAAGGCTGGAAAAGGATTGGAAAAGGGCTGGTAAAGGCTGGAGAGGGACCGGAAAAGGACTGGAAAGAGCTGGAAAGGGCTGGAAAAGGGATGGAAAAGGCTGGAAAGGGCTGGAAAGGGCTGAAAAGGGCTGGAAAGAGCTGGAAAAAGGCTGAAAAGGCCTGGAAAAGGCCTGGAAAGGGCTGGAAA